GTCATTGAAAAGTATAAAAACAAGCCTTAGGTTGCAGGGTATACAAAAAGCGGCTGTAGCCAGGAAGATTTTCCCTGAGAACCTAATTTGCCAAATGCTGTACTAGGCTGCTGTTCTTTCTGCGCTATTCTGCCTATCACTATGATTTCATATGTTCTATCTTCTAGAAATTCTTTAAAATCTTTAGTACATTGATGCTTTTCACTGCCTTTTACTGGTCTGAGGGTCAGTCAGCCTTTTATTCTATTCAGGCCTTAAACAGATTGGAGAAGGCCCACCCACATTAAGGAGGGCAGTCAGCTTTGCTTAGTCCAATGACCTAAATGTTAATGTCATCCCAAAATAAACACCCTCACGGAATACCCTTACTACTGTTTGACCACATTATCATGGCACCGCGTGGTCCAGACAGGTTGACACATAAAACTAACCATCACATTCACATAGCTGGTAAGTGGTAGAGGTAGGATTCACAGTAGAGCTTGGCTGTCTATTGACAAAAACCATGCTCTTATTTACTATTTGCACCTAGACCCAAACTCAGCATTAGTATCCTCCTAAAGATCATCTTTTATTTAGCTATTTATTTTACTTTTTATATTTTTCATACCCCAAGACGTAAGGTTAAAAAAAAGTTAAAAGGCCATTTTGTATTACAATTTTGTCATTCCGCAGAATGAAAGACTTGAAAATAATTATCTAGCCTGTTTGGTATTCTAAAGTTAAATTTTAAAAAATAAAAGAAATCATGTTTCCTGTTTTTATTAACATTTCCTAAGTGAACTCACATGGAATTTATGAATTACTATCATATATGATGATCACTTACCCTCACTGAGCATTGGAATATGTTCACTTTAGAGTTTATCAGTAGCCTAGTCTTGATACTTTAGTTCAGCGGTTCTCAACCGTCCTAATGCCACAACCCCTTAATACAGTTCCTCATGTTGTGGTGACCCCCAACCATAAAATTATTGTCATTGCTACTCTATATAACTGTAATTTTGCTACTGTTATGAATCGTAATGTAAATATCTTTTTGTTTTCAGTTGGTCTTAGGCGACCCCTGTGAAAGAGTTGTTTTGACTCCTGAAATGGTCGTTCGACCCCCAAAAGGGTCGCGACCCACAGGTTGAGAACCTCTGCTTGTTGAAGTAGTTATGTCAGCCCTCTCAGCTGGCTATACAGGTCTTGGGCCCTTTTTTCAAACAAACAAACAAACAAACAAACAAACAAACAAACAAAAACAAACAAACAAACAAACAAACAAACAAACAAACAAACATCCTTTTTGTGATAAAATGTATACAACATAAAAATTTACCATTGTAATCATTTTTAAGTGTACAGTTTAGTGGCTTTAGATATATTTACAGTGTTGTGTAAACATTGCCACTATCTATTTCCAGAAGTTTTTCATCAACCCAAACAGAAGCTCTTTACGCATTGAGCAACAACTCTCCATTCCTCCATTGCCCCAGCCTCTGGTAGTCTCTATTCTACCTCCTGTCTTTATGAATTTGCCTATCTAGGTACCTCATATAAGTGGAATCATATGATATTTGCCCTTTGTTAACATTTACATAATGTTTTTCACTTAGCATAGTGTTTTTCCAAGTTCATCCATCTTGAATTGTGTATCAAAACTTCATTTTTCTCGTTGAATAATATTCCATTGTATATATACAGCACATTTATCCATACATATCTTGAAAGATATTTGGGTTGTTTCTATCTTTTGCTTATTGTGAATAATGCTGCAGTCATCATGGGTGTACAAGTATCTGTTGGAGTACTTGCTTTTAGTTCCTGTAGGTATATATGTAGGAGTGGAATTGCTGGATCATATGGTAGTCCTATGTTTAACTTTGTGAGGAACTGCCAAAGAGTTTTCCACCGTGATGGAAACATTTTGCACCAGAGTTCCAATTTCTCCACATCCTCAGCAACTTTTGTTATTTTCTGTTTTTCGGATATCCTAATAAGTTTAAAGTGGCATCTCATTGTGGTTTTGATTTGCATTTCCCTAATGTTTGTGATGTTAGCATCTTTTACCATCTTGTTAGGCTGAGAATTTTCCAAATTATCTGGTGCTGATTTCTTTTGCTTAACAGGTCCTCAGTTTTTCTCTTTTCTCTCAAATTTTTCTATAAGTATCAAGGAGAAATCAGTACACACCTTCATCACATTGCTTGGAAATCTCATCAGCTAAATACCCAAGTTCATTGCTTACTAGTTCTGCTTTTCACCGAACAGTGGAACACATTTCAGCCAAGTTTCCTGCTACTTTATAACAAGGATTGCCTTCTTTCCATTGTCCAGTAGCATCCCTTGTTTCCTTCTTAAGACTTCACCAGAAGCCCTTTCATGTTCATATTTCTCCAGCATTCTATTCCTGACAATATGTATATTCTCTCTATATAGAAAAGATTGTAGGGTCATAAAGAGAGGAGATTGAATAAAACAAAAATTGGGGTTGAAACAGTAAGGAGAGGGAAGATTGATTGGCAGAAATAAGCAAGCATCATAAAAGTGAAATGTACAGTAGCAAAGGCAAATAGGATAAGAGGAAGACTTCAGGGACAGCAAAAGGTAAACAATATCATGAATAACTTAATGATAAAGGGCAGAATGTTAATACAGGGTCCGACAATTCAGTTCATGAACTTGCACTGTGCGCTTACATTGGTAGCACTGTACAGACAGCTCGGTAACTTTGTTATGTCAGTGTCTCACAGCTGTCTTCTTGTTGATGTGTAGCGGTATCTTGCTGAGTGGTGTTCATTATTGTTGTTGCGTGTTTTTGTGTGGCATCACAAGAATGTCTGAGCTTGAATTAGAGCAACGAACAAACATTACATTTCTTTTTATACTCTGCAAGAGTGGAAGTGAAATCAGGAACATGTTATTCCAAGTTTATGGGAATAATGCCATGAAGAAAAGGGCAGTGTACAAATGGATTAAACGTTTTTCTGAGGGGAGAGAACGCGTCACTGATGAAGAGAGGTCAGGGTGGCCAATAACAAGCAGAACTGACGAAAACATTACAAAAATTCATCAAGTTGTGCGTCAGAATTGTCGGCTGACTGTGAGAAACATAGCAGACCAAGTGAACATCAGTAGAAAAACCGTTAGGAAAATCTTAACTGAAAATCTTGGCATGAGAAAGGTGTGTGCAAAAATGGTCCTGAAGGAGCTCACCGATGAACAAAACAAAGGAGAGTTGAAGTTTGCCAAGACCTTTCTTTTGGAGAGGCAAGAGGATGTTTGGGGCCGTGTTATCACTGGTGATGAAACATGGGTGTACCAATACGACCCTGAAACAAAGCGTCAAAGTGCACAATGGAAGTCAGCCAATTCTCCACGACCAAAAAAGTTCCGTCAGTCCAAATCAAGAATCAAAACGATGTTGCTAACCTTTTTTGATATCAGAGGGATTATTCATTATGAATTTTTACCAACTAGACAGTTAACCAAGTATGCTATTTGGAAGTGCTGAAAGGACTGCATGAAAAAGTTAAATAAAAAATGACCTAAACTTTTCGTCAACAATTCATGGCTCTTGCATCACGACGATGTACCAGCTCACACAGCACTGCCTGTGAGGGAGTTTTTAGCCAGTAAACAAATAACTGTATTGGGACACCCTCTCTACTCACCTGATCTAGTCCCCAATGACTTCTTTCTTTACCCGAAGATAAAGGAAATATTGAAAGGAAGACCAAGAGTAATACGACAACAGCTCTGATGGCCATTCCAGAAAGAGTTCCAAAATTGCTTTGAAGGGTAGGCTAGGCTCTGGGATAGATGCATAGCTTCCCAAGGGGAGTACTTCGAAGGTGACCGTAGTGATATTCAACAATGAGGTATGTAGCACTTTTTCTAGGATGAGTTCACGAACTTAATTATCAGACCTCATATATCAGTTTCAGCTTTAGTCAAATTAATGATAAATTATTAGAGACACTGTAGTCTTGATATCATACACTCAAGATTCTCATGTCATTTTCCCAGAAGAAAATATTGGGTTGTCGGAAAAGTCATGACGCATTTTTGCAGTGAAAAACATAGAAAAAATACATCATGACTTTTCTGACAACCCAATAGTAGGAACAATTTTATGTATTAATTACATTTCAAATAAATATATTATTTACATGTTAATATATTGATATTTGATATTGTGTACTGTCAAGTAGGTATAAGTATGTATTTTAAGGTAAGTATTTGTATGCCATTGTTTTAATAGCAAAAATTTAGTTTTCGGTGTAGACATGCAAATGTCTCACATAAACATAAAGTAGACTTTTAACATTTCAAATAAAAGTGGGCTAAGACATTTTTTTCAGTCATAAGAATTGACATAGAGTTATTATAGTTGAATATGAGGCAGGTTTTGATATCCAAGACAGTGATGTGTTTTGCTTTTGTCATTACTTCTCACATGGCTTTTCTACAATATCATATGCATTCTTTATAGTCAGTAAATATCTAGCTAAACAGTCCTTAACACACCAGCATTACAAACTACTTCTTAGCCTTTTCATGCTTAAAATTAACCTCAGATTATTCATGCTGACATGTAGAAATGAACATTATGTCTTCTCTCTTACCTGCAAATTTTAGAGGGATTTGGTATATCAGAACTGTATGTGGTTGGCCTATCAACTTCTTTAAGTCCTTGAACACAGTTCTCTATCTAGGTCGATTAATATATTATGTCACCTACTTTCTTCTTCTACTTTAAATTCCCTCCTTGATAAAGGACTTTATTATTATGGTTTTTAAAAGTCATTTTATCCAAAATTTCTTTGAATATTTGAATTCAAAATCCCATTGACCCACTAAAGAGGAAGCTCTTAACAACTGAGAAACATTGATATATATATATATATATATATATATATATATATAAATTCAACTGAACGTGGCTGAGAGAGGCCTTTACCTAATAATTCTGACTTTCTGCTTTAGGAATCCTGAAAGCATGGATTATCCACGTGTGCTATGAGACACGCTTTAGATGTTTTTTTCTGGAAGCCCTGCCGCTACCCTAAAAAGTGAATGTCTTGTAGAACAGACCTATGGTAAGTGGGCTTTTTCCCCTCTTTTCCCTTCTGTCTGGTTCATTTTCGAGTTAAGTCTTATGAATGTTGTAATACTGCTCCCTGCTGGACACTGTAATTTTTAAAGTTGGCACTTAATAGATGAGCAAATAAACTTGTTAGCTGGACCCGCTGCGGAGGGCCTCCTCGGCAATATTCACAAGAAACAGCAGTGTACAACAAAAGCAGCTCTCTTACTATTCTGAGTGATGCCACTGCCAATGTGTTGATAACTGGAGCAGGATAAAGTACTCATAGTCTTGCTTCTAAATTTCATTGTCACCTTCCTGTTTATTGGCATCTAAAAGTTATAACAAACATATATTGAAGGATGCTTGTAGGTGATGGACCTTTTAGGATTTCCTAAATTGTGTGTGTGTGTGTGTGTGTGTGTGTGTGTGTGTGTGTGTGTAAAATAAGTCAGTTTTTAAATTATAACAATTATTATTTATTATTATTATCTCTTGTAATAAATTAAATTCCCTTCCTGTGTACTTTTGTTTTTCTAAACCAATGTTTAAAACAGCTCCAGTGTAATTTAAATTAGGCATTGTCGGGTCTGTTTAGAATGAGTCACCCTACGTTACATTTTATACAGTGGACTTCAAATGTAAGTTATTTTGTATAACCATCCTATAATCCAGCTATCATGTTTTCTATACAATAGTACACACAGTGAACAATACTTAACACAGCATGATGTTGGGTTGGACCTCAAATGTGTCTGTATTAGTCCTATCGTGAACCCTCTCACATTGTAGGCATGCACAGGTGCTCCCCAAACTGTTTTAAAGTGTGTGAGAGTTAAAAGTGTTTTTCTTCCTACTTTTGAGGTAAAATATTATATTTTTTGTAGTGTACACTGTATAAAACTTATCACCTGGATGTAATGTAGACTTTTTTTGGAAAGTAATCATACACTTTTTTGCAAAGAAGAAAAAGTGACAGAAACAACATTGAGCTAACCAAAGATTTAGCAGGATAACTGAGCTTACACTCTTGAACAGCCTGGTACTTTTTTGATAGCCATTGGGAAAGCCTGTGAAATCTACCCTTAATTAGGATTATGGAGAATTAGGCATAGTAACTTGTTCTTTATTATTAAAATATTGCAATAAAAATTGGAAATGTACACCAAGAAAATAAAACTGTTAGCAAAAAAGAGAAGCCCTCTCTACCTTCTCTGTAAGAATATATTATTTCAGATAATATACCATTTAAAATTTTTTATTGTGAAATATAACCGAATATAGAAACATAAATGTATAGTAAAATGAGTAAGTATAAAGCAAGCATCCATGTTACCATAGATCATTACTGGCATCCCAGAAACCCTTGATATAATCTTTCTTTTCTTTAGAGGTAACAAATGTCCTGATTTTTATGGTAATTATTTATATAATTCTCCATGTGATTTTATCACTTTTGTATGTATTCCTCAGCAATATGTTGCTTTTTGTCTCTTTGTAATCTTTCTGGAATCATATGTATTCTTTTTTTTTTTTTTTCAAACATTTTCATCGGAAATGTTTTTGTTGTTTTGCTGGGGGAAGGGTGAAAAAAAGATCTCAGGGTAAAGAGAGGGCTGTCTTCAGTGTACTAGGGAGCTTAGGGGTAGGAGGAGTTGTGAGGAATTTAGATGAAGCAGCAATTAGGGTGGGATCAGGGTGCCTGGGGACAGGGTTGGGGTATTTTAGGGTAAGATGGCTAGGAGGGGACAGCATTCTTTAGGAAAGGGTGTAGGCTAGGGGTGGAAGGCATTGTGCTGATGGGGCCTATCCTAATACAGCCCGAGGACAGTGGGGAAATCAGGTGAGTTATCCAGTCCCCACACCTGCAGGTCCCCAAACTGATGCTGTCACAGTCCTCACAGTGTGTCTGTTGGAACAAGTGTAGGGGCAGAGCTCAGAGCCCCTTCTCAGTAGGGATGGAGGAGACCCTGTTGCTGCCACTGCCACTGCCCAGCCTGCTCCACTGCGTGATGAAGGGTGGGGGAAAATCCTGGCGATGTATGGCCCAAGCCTCACAGCAGCGTGCAGGTCCAGCTGAGGAGCTCCTTGTGTACTTTTGCTGGGCCAAGTCCTTGAAAGTCACAACTCATGGAGTAGAGCACGCACGATGTGGCTTTGACATTCAGGCTGCTAAAGAGGCCTTGAGGGTTTTGCTTGTATGTGTTGAAGGTGATGAGAGCAACATCGTTGCCGTGCTTGGGCTTCTCCCCAGCCCAGGTCATGTGACAGCCCACCTCCCCCCCACCCACTGGAGCTCCAGCTGTGCCCCAGTCCCAGCACCATCAGGCCTGTAGCATCTTCCAACAGCTGGAAGAAGTCCTTGCTCTCATGGAGGTCCCATGCCCTTTAGCTCCAGGCTTAGCACTCCACTCAGCAGCGTGTTCTCCAGGGCTTTATCAAGCAGTTCCTGGAGTGTGGCAGCTGCCGGCACAGGCACAGGAAGGGGGCTGGGGCGGGGGAGCTCAAGGCCAGACTCGAAAGCCAAACTCATCGCTTGTGCTGGACACTGACCTGAGCCTGGAGACTGCGACCAGCCTTCATGCTTCCCTTTGGGCTGGTGACACCCGTGATGCTGGCTCCGCTCTGGTGTTCTTCTGGTTGGGCACCAGCTAGCATGGCATGTGGGTGGGCTGACTGGTGAGCGCCATTTTCTGGAATCATATTCATTCTTTCTTCCTTTATTCAGCATCGTGTTTCAAAGATCATCTTTGTAGTTGCATGTAGTTTTATTTAATTTATTTTCATTATTATATATTATTTGTTTGGAATGAATATGACAGAATTCATCTCTCCTGTTGTTGGTGGACATTTGGGTTGTTTCTAGTGTTTGGCTATTATAAATGACGTTGCCATGAACTTTCTTTTATATGTCATGTGTTTTCTATGTGTGTCAGGTGGAAAAAGTCATATATTTTCAGGTTATTCAATCAAGAGAATTGATTATAGTGGTATTTTAAATTAATTTAAGTGTGTTCATGAAAAATTTGTTGTATTATGAGAGTAACATTCAATATTGGAAAAGATTCTGAAGTGATTATCATTTTACTGTAGGTGTTAAATATATGGAAAAATAGCCTATAGTTTGTGATAGCTTAAACAAATGTATACATATAGATATATAGATATAATATAGGACCTAATGTAGTAACTCTTTGTTTTACTTTATTAGCACATTTATTGTTTACTATCATGTCATGTTTTCTGTAACCACTTTACTGATGAAGAAACTAAGGAGGGCTAGAGAGATTGAGTCACTTGAACAAGGTCATTTAGCAAGTTGGAGCTAGAAACCAGACCAACCTGTCTACGTGGCAGTCACAACTTAAAGAAAACAAAGTGAAAAGTAAAATCAGGATATTTTCTTGAGTGTCCAGCCATTTAAGTGGAAAATGTGCTTGATTTGACTAGCTTTCAGAAATTATCAGATATTTTTTTGACTATGAATCAAGTACTGGCTTAGCACAGGGAATGGTATGTTTAAAGCCCCGGAGTGTAATTGCACTTGATCACAGTTCATCTGCAAAAGACAGCCATCGTATATTCTAACTTTGAGAATTTTACTTTGAGTAATTCATCATCCATTGGGCTATTGTTAACAAATGTTATAGTTCTCATCTGCTAATTTTGTGGATAATTGAATCTTATCCTTTATATGCCAAGATTTGTTCTGTAAGAATATTTTTCTAAGATGCTTCTAAAATCTAAAATTTACACTTCTGTTTTCCTAAGCAGGACAAACTAAGAATAATTTAAGTTTTTGTTTTGTTTTGTTTTGGTGGCTCAGAGTTGTCATTGTGAACATCAGTCATTTCACAGAATTTATGTGATTTCTTCAGAGACAGTCATGCTGTCGAGTACTCTTCTCCTATTTGTACTAGACTGATAAACTTTTATGTCCTGGGTGCTACTTGTGATGGTTAACCTAGTGCAGGGAGGGAAATAGTGCATAATTAGTTTTGCATGTTTTTGTATTTTATATATAGAATTATACAGTCGATTTTATGTTTGGCTCCCTTTGCTCAACTTTATGCCTTGAGATTCATCTGCATTGTTGCATGTAGTTGTACTTTGTTCATTTTCTTTGCTGCATTTCATTATATGATTATATCAACTATTTTTTATCCATTCTGTTAATGGACATTGGAGTGGTTTCCATATAACACTGCTATAACCATTCTAATACATATCTCTTGATTAATATATTTGCGAGTTTCTTTTGAGGCTATGTCTAGGAGCAGAATTACTGGGTCATAAGTATACATATGTCCAACTTGAACCAATATTGCCAAACAGTTTTCTAAAATGGTTGTACAAGTTTACATTCACTGTGAGAGTTCTTGTTGCTCCATGTCTTCGCCAACACTCTATTCTTCTCCCGCTTCTTTTGTTTTCCCAATTCTGGTGTGTATAAAATAGTAAACCATTATTGTTTTGCTCTCTATTGATAGTTCCCTGATGATTAATGAAGTTGAGCACCTTTTCACATGTACAGTCCCTGTTTCATGATCCTCTTTTGTGAAGTTCCTGTTCACTTCCTTTGCACACTTTTCTGATGGGCTTTTTTTTTTCTTTGATTTGTAGATAGTCTTTATATATGTGGAATATGAGTTCTTCTCTGAATATAGGTATTGCAAACATTTCTTCTACCCTAAGGTTGCCCTTTCATCTATTAATAGTGCTTTTGTGAACAGATGTTTATATGACTTTAAAGTAGTCCAGTTTGTCATTTATGTTTAATGCTTTTTACATCTTTTTTAAGAAGCATCTGTCTACTCCAAGGATATTCTGTGTTCTCTTTTTCTCTAAACGTGTTGTTGTGTTACATTTAGATCTGTAATTTTAGACTGTATTTTCCTTTTAGGCAATTTTGCTCTGCTTTTTCAGACTCAAGAATCTTCATCACTAGACAGAAAAAGGAGGTGGATTTATGTTAATGACCATAATTAGGAACTTTTTACAAAATACTCTCGTAAGAGAGCAGTGTGTTTATCTATGTTTGCCTCAACTGTAGCTTTAATGTACTGCTTTGTTTATTTTGTTTGCCTTTAAGGAGAGTCTGCTAGATTATTCAGGGAAGAATTTCTGGGATGGGAAAATAAATGTTATCATTTTCAATATTTTTAACAATACTAGTATTCATAAAAATGTTTATCCATGAAATATAAAATTATAAAAGTATTTTTATATAGAAAATATAAAAGTATTTACAGACACAATCCCAGTTACCTCATTTGGGTATAGCTCACTCTGTTCAAGTTTAGGATATCTAACTGAGGGGAAAATTAGGTTTTAACTTTTGGCACCAAAGCAATATGAAATACAATGGCTATTATATTTAAGAATTATTTTTATAAGCTGCTTTTTAATTATTTTGATTTTGAGTAGGTTTTCTTGTGAGCATCAATTTGTGTACATGTTATGAACATTCTTAAGGCCTTCAGTGATACTTTTTATTCAGAAATATTGAGATATATGTTCCCATTATGTGCTATTATTTGTGTTGCAGAAGTGTTTTTATTTTAGTTTTTATCTTGTCAATAATATATATTATTAACTTCATGATTATTTATTGCGTAATTTTACATTTACATTTCTTAATGAGACTAATTGCATATTTAAAAATGTATTTTTTCTCTGATTACAGTGCTGAAATTAAAGAAAGGTGAATTGTACTTGGCTTTTAACTAAGCACTTAGGTATTTTTCACTTGTCATCTACATTTTTTAGCTTAAAGCATCAAATTAAATAATATTTTATCCTGGCTTTTATTTAATTCATGCATTTAAAAACTGAAATTCAGATAAAAGATAGTTTCAAAATAAATGCAGTATATTATTTATGAGTGGAGCAACACATTAGCATTGGGTTCACAATAGATCATATCGCTTTTATTCCATCTTACAAGCTTAGCAGCACAAACAGAATAATCAACATATTATTTGGCTGTCATCTGCTGAACAGAAACCAGAGATCACAAGGAGGTTTTCCCTAGCTGTGGTGATGGCCTTTTTGTTCCAAGCCCCCATCTGGGAGGGCCATGGTGTGTTATCATATGGAACGCGGGGTTTTCTGTAATCTGCTTAGCTGCACTGCAGTTTGAATCTTCATTCCATGTTTGTGTAATTTATAATTTTAATGAGACCATGGCTCTTGTGGGCTTTGAAATATATTAAAAGCTCTTTTGTGCATATGCTTTTGTTCTTGCTTAATAGGCTCGGTGTATTTAAAACTGATGAATTTTTATTCATGCATTTGGATGTCTGGGGATTAACTTAGACTGAATATCATTGCTCTCATATACTGATGGTTAGAAAGTTTTTTTATTGTTATTATTTTATTTGTGTTTGTGTGTGTGTGTGTGTTTGTGTGTGTGTGTGTGTGTGATACTTATAACCAGGAAAGGAAAGAAATATATAACTTTAAAAGGCTAGGAAAAAGTGGCATGACTAGGTAATAAAGAACTGATTTAGCTATTATCCATCTTATTTACTATACTTCTATTTCATCTTTAGCCTTAGTATTTTATATAAATATTGTAAAGGAATAATTATGAAAAATCAACTTTTAAATGAGTTAATACTTCACATACTATTGTTTGTATTGGAATAATACTCCAATGCATGACAAAGGTAGACACATTTTAATTGTGTAGTATCAATTGTCTGTGGCCATACTAAATCTGCCATTCATTTTCTTGAATTCAATTAGGTACATGTTTTATTTTTTAATTACTTACAGTTTTTTGTGTTTCTGTAACACTTTTCATTAATGGATTTTTTTTAAAAACCTACACTGATGGATATGATGCGAAGACTAATGGAAAAGCAGCTTTCCAATAATTTATCAAATTGACCTTTTTCATGTTGCTAAAATTCTGAAATGTACTAAATGCTTCAAATCTCTATAGTTATTATTTATGATGTATTTTTAAAACTTGAATACAAACAGTTATATTGCAACATAGAAAAAAAAATCATGGCCCTTGCTAGATCCAGACATGGTTTTTGAAGTCGCTGTCTATTGGACTCAATGAGGGGTAACACACAGACCATAGCAGTCTTTTCTGAAGTCGCCCAAGATGAACCTATGCTTACTGGACTAAAGCATTTTTGTAACTATAAAACATTCTTTTTGGTACATGCTGGTCAGTGAGTTAGTTGGTCCCTTCTCCCTGCCTACCCTTAAACTAGAAATAGATGCTAAAATAACAGCGTTTTGTGCTTTCTTTACCAAGCTTATCTGTCAGATTTAACACTAGAATGTTCATTCTTCCTAATAGCTCTCTGCTTTAGTATTTTTATGATACAATTTCAGTTAGCTTAAGAATATATTATTGAAAATGTGTAATCTACTAAAGCATTGCGGTCCAATAGAAATATGAGAGTCACATATGTATTTTATTTAATCCACTATATCTAAAATATTACCTTTTCAACATGTAATCAACATAAAATAACTTACTTTTTTTTGTGTGTGTACTAAATCTTCAAAGCCCATTGTATACTTTATACTTAAAATACATCTCAGTTTGGACTGGTCACGTTTCAGGTGCTCAATAGTATGGGTAGCTAGTGGCTACTTTATTGAACAGCATAGCTGTAAAGTTTTACTTATAAATATCATAACATGTGTATTTTTACATTCCTCATTATTTTTCTAGTAATATCCTAGTCAAAGTAATCAGTATTCATGTGAAATGTAGTTGAAATTACAGTTCTTTTCATAGCTCTACCACTGATACTATTGGTATATATCTGTCTGATTAATACACAAAATCAGAATTATGTCACCTGACTCCTGAGTATCAGATATTGTACAGATATGCTTAAAGATATTGTGATGATAAGGAGATAATGGATAATATGATGGATGTGGTATGTTCCTCAGCAATTGTGAGCAGATCATACTTGTCAAATAAGTATGCCAAGGAACTTAGTTTTACAAGAATCCCATGGCAATTCTTAATACCTATTTTTCAAGATAAGATTGAGATTTCCTCTTTGCATTCTTAGAATTTTTCTATATAGGTGTTTGTATGAATGTATATGAATCTCTCTTTCCGTATAAGTTTACTTAGATCTGGTATAGCTTTAAACTTCTTAGAAGTAAAAAGCTGAACATAAAGTATTATTTTCTAAATATCTAAGATTCTATACATTTTAAATGCTCTCTATATATTCAAATATAAGGAGGAGTTACTTCACTAAGTACTTTAAAAACATATAGTTAAGTATTATAAAAACAAGTTATTGATTTGAATTGATTCACATATCTTAACATATAAAATGATCAAGGTGACTTATATAAAATACTGCTACTGTACTTTATAAAAAGTAGAGACCGTCTTACGTGTAATTGACCTTCTTGCTCAAGTATGGTTTAGAGATAAAATGGTATGTTCATGAGATCTGTGGATTTTTCATTTTTCCTAAATTTTGAGGGAAATCAGCTAATTTTTGTGTAATCTGACTTTTATGTAGATATTGGCTGATGCCTGTTGTATTCTTTCACTCACTTAAGTTTTTATTGACTTCTGTCTGCGACTTCTGCATTTCAACTGTTGGCACAAAATGTTAAACTACTCTTTAAACAATAGCTCTAGTTTCTTGGAGATGATAAATCCATCCATTGATTTTCTAATTTTATTATGTACACAGTGAATTGTAATCCAAGATTACAGCAAACAAGATGTTAATTTTGAGCCATAATCTATGTACATTTCAATTACAGAGCATGATTGTTATAGAAGCACAGAATAAAAAGGAATAACATTTGTGCTATCCTCACAGGAGCTGTCAATAAAAGATGTAATAGGGGATTTAGGAATCTGGAAATGGCCAACTAATTTATGTGAATCTATTTTATTTCAGCTAGAAAGACCAAGCTCTTTTCCGTCTGCACTGCATATTGCAGAGCACAGGCTGTCTATAGAAAACCAGGCGGCTGCATATGGATAGTCCCTTGATATCATTCACTTGCTGTGTAATCTTATTATGCAAAGTTCTAATCTTCACCTAGAATGAATGCCTCTGGGTCAGAATATAGTCATATCAGGGTTTTTGAGGTCATGTTTTGTGATCCTTAGCTTATTCTTCTAAGTAGGGCTGGGATTTAAAGGGTATTCCCCAGACGCTAGCAAAGATAGACAGCAGAACCTGCTGCCTTTTTGGAAGACAAGACCAACATGAGGTCCCTGGTAGGATTAAACTTGATTTGTAGCTGTAGGATTTTTTAACAGATGTATTATTGGACAGGGAATAGGGGGCCACCAGCGCAGCAAAATTGAATCACGCCTGGCATTCTCAGGGAGTTTGCTGCCTGCTCAAACAGCAGCTGCATGTGGATTTGACTTCTTTCAGGTGAAGCGACTTCCAGTCATTTGGAAAGGATGGGATGAAAAGGAACCTTGGTGATAATTTTGATGTCTGCAAGATTTAGTACCAGTGTAATGGGATTATCGGTAACACCTTCACTGCAGAAAAAGCCACCTGGCGCTATAACTGGCAGCGACTGAGAACTAATCCTTTCCCATCTCTTGGATGTCATTCATGAAGCTCAAAGCGATTTCTATCCTGCTAACTGTGATTAATTTTATAAACAACAACAACAAAAAATCAGGTGATCAAGGCAAAGAATATGCTTTCTATTAATTATTTAAAATATGTAGCCTAATAAGCTATTTGACTTATAATTTATGTAAGACATATATAAACTATAAACTAAGTATGACTTAAAATGTATTAAAATATTCAAGTAGAACAGTTGATTAATAATGTCTTATACTTTTTCCAGTTGAGTGATATAATAATATGTTTGCTATTGGTGAAGATTTATATTTGAGATTAAATATTAATTTACATACTTGTGTTCATTTGGATATAAGGCCATTATCAATAAATTAAACCTCTGTAGGTGTGAGAAATCACAATAATTTGTTTTATCATACATTTTACCTGTTTATGACTGCTTAGATTCCTGTTGATTGTTTTATAAATAAAACATTTAATGATATAAAAATACATAGGCACATGTTTTTTATAATTAAGGTAAGCTCACACTACTGATGAAAAAGGGTTCTTTGTGAAAGTATATGATCTTAATATGTAAAATTCCTAAAATAGTTAATATTAATCCTGCATAGACTTATTTTTTTTAATCAAAAATTCACAGATTTCCTTTAGCAGATAGGGGTTTAGTTATTTGCTCTAGAATCATGTATTGAGGTTTATTTTTTAAGCATTTTATTTCAACTAAAAACTTTATCAAGTACTTTGTTTTAGAGGTGTTAATTATTTTAATATTCTTCTCTTACATGGTCCAGAATAAACTGAGAGAAAATGAAGTGAAATTATCCCATCAGTCACCCAAACAGTATGCAACATAACTGCCAAGACTAGAAAAGATAATTAGTGTTGTCAGTGTTATGATCCTAGAGTACTTACTTTTAAAATATTTATTCATCGAACTTGATTTTTATCTTATTGTTTTTTTATTTAGTAGCTTTCTATTTTAAAAAACAGATTAGAAAACCTTAATGTTTTTAAACTCTGAAATCTTAAGTAAACATAGGTGACTGAAATACTTTTTGAAATTTTAAGAATAACTAAAATATAATCATCCATTATGCACAATGTATTAATTTACTTGTCACCTGTGTTTACATATAGAACATTTTATTCTCCTCCATATGACGTCTTTATTAGAAAAATAAAAAACACAATACATTTATGTAGAGATCTTTGGTCAAATCTACCTAGCAAACTAATTCTTCATGGGTTTTGTTTTAACCAGATCCAAGCTATTGTATTCCAGAATGTGTTTCTTCATTTGTTTTCACATTTAAAATGAAAGAATGAGAAAGCTTAATATTTCTACTGAACTGCATTATGTTAGTTTATAAAGGACTTCTTTAGCCTTCTATTTGTAGTTTTACTATTGGAAAAGCTGTTTATTTAAAATTCTATCATAATGAAAAGGTTTACCTATGAAATAAGCAGTCTAAAATATTTTTCTTATCCCGATAATCACTTATATTTTAAATATAAAATATTTGCTTTATGTGTAATTTCAAATTATTTTGCTGGGCAGTGTACTTCCTCAGTGTAACTTTCTAAGGCAGTTAATAGTATTATGTAATTATTTTTTAAAAGTTGCTTTTCTTTCAAAACAAAATTTGTCTCAAAGCTTTTATTAAACATGGTCACTGTTTAGCTTTCTGCTTTTTATTCAGTTGGTTGCTGAATGACTTGAGAATTAGTATTTTTTCCTTCTCTGTCCTTGGCATTATTCTTATTTGATTAGAGATGGTTATTTCCTTTGGAAAGTCCCAAATAAACTCATCTTAATGAAATTCACTATAAATATATAAGATCTTCTCAATGATATGCATTTTTTTCAGGTAGATATAGGTTACTTGAATTTACTACCTTATTGATAATTTATAAGAAATTTGGCTTATCTTTAAAAGCTATAAATACTAACTTAATTTGTTACACAAGTGACTCACAATGGTGTCAATAACAGTTAAGGGAGGTATTTTTGGCGATAAGAGAAGGAGATATGCTTATGGAGATAGGGTTAGAGAAATGAGAAGAAAAAGTTTTTTAAAAGACAGTCTGGTGTAACAAAAAAACTGGATGTCAATCATAGGAATTCTTGAGTTTTTTAAGAGATGGTAAACTCTTTTTTTTTCTTTTGGTAATTTATGAGGTTTAATATCATATTAAAGGGCCTTGCATGAACTGTAGACTGCTAGTGACAGCTAGTCAATGATAATGCTAAAGGATATTTCTTCCATTTGAATGCATATCCTTCAACTATTGCTTGTACAACTTGTATATTCTGAAATAGATGGATCATATAGCCTTTGGGGGATTATTAGTGGATGAATGAGGTGGTTTTGGTATTTGTTTCACTGTTTGGAAGCTGGTACTTAATTATACTAAAAGTGTCTACTGCTTATGCTTTATAAACATAAAATGAGTTTTGATTTTGGAGATATATATATAGATATATATGTAAACTTCAAAAATAACTGAATTTTTTAAAAATCACTGAAATATTTGATGAAAATTTGATGAAATTATTTGATGAAAATTTATAGCATTCTCTCAAAGTTAACATTCAGTTTAAAAATAATGAATGGTTAAATTTTGTCAAGTTTCTGATAATGTTGAGTATAGCTCAGTGGTCCCAAATGACAGCACAGAGTCCTTTTCCTGGGCGTCCCTTCTGGGAGCTTATTAAAGCTCCAGATTGTCATTCTTTAGCTCTATGACAGAATTTGGATTTTGAATTGGGTTCTCAGGTAATTTTGATGCTGCATTCAGATTTAAAACAGTATTCACTGCTTTAAGTCTTAAAGTGATGGCGATTATTTCCTCTGGCAATGAATCAAAACAAATAGGTTTAAATAAAATCTTTGTAGATTATGGGGATCAGAACTCCTTGAATTTGCAGTTCTAGAAAATTTAAAAAAACAACAAAAAACAACCAACCCTCTGCACAAGTCTTACAGTAGATTTAACATTTTAGATTTGAACAATTCATGAGCAGCCCTGAAGGTGATTTTGAAATGGCAGGAATTTGAATTACTTTGATAGAGAGGCTGCTGTGTGAAGTGAATTATTTAGCTGTTGAGCTGAGTCCATCACTCAGCATCCATGTCTTAATGAGTCTGTTGTTCTCTCCTAGTCACAGTAACCTCCATTCAGGGTCTGACATGGACATATATTTCTCAGTTATTTTATATATATCATTATATGGGAAAATATGTTTTGTGTAGGTATTTCTGAATTTGAGAAATCGCAGAGGTCTCAGGAATGTCCTAAGTCGGCTGTCTTTTCTTGTCCCAATGAAGGAGTATGTAGCAAAACTATGATGTTAGGATTTGTGTTCTGCTTTACATCTACTTCTCTGTTCTCACCTTTTCATAATGTGAACACTTCTTTAAATGCTAATACGTTACTAACTGTTCCTCTTATTAAAATAAAAGAAGTGTGATATTAATCACTTGTTTGATTGGCTGCTTATAATTAAAAATGAATGCATTTCTGTAAACTGGTGGTCTCAATTAATATGGACGCTTTACAATTTTTTTCCTACTACGGAAACAAAATGCTTTCTAAAAGGAATTCCAGAGCTGGACAATCAGGTGGATGTTTTCTTTGTGGCTTTGAGTATTCTGAAGTCACTGTGAGGCTATTTCAATGGCTAGATATAAATCAAGGTTTTAGGCTTGTACCCCTATTCTGAGCAACTGCTAAGGATGGAGGAATCTCTCATTTCTTTTCCACTTCTAGAGTTTACTCTGCTGCATCTTATAAGCTAGTTTTAACATCAGTCCACCTTCTCTGTTTCCCCTGCCTATTTTATAGTTTCTAACACGTCTTTCATTTTAGCTGAGTGGCGGCAGAGCACAGTAGTGGACTTAGAGCCCATCGGCCTCGTTTTGAATTCTGGCTCTGCTGCCCGGGAGCTGTGTGATTTTTGAATAGTTCCTTAAACTCTCGGTCCCTCGGTTTCTTTAGCTGTAAATGAGATACTTAAGTTCTCATATGGTCATTATAAGAATTAAATGAGTTAATGTAATTGAAACAGTGCCTGGCACATAGCAAGAACTAATATTTAAGTATTTGCTGTTATTGTTGTCACTGTTATTTTGGTTGCTATTTGAGGATTTTTTTTATGTGTATTGAAAAGGAGCCATTATGACCCACATCCCAAATAGTGTTTTCTAACTATGTTATAGGAGGAAATCTTTTTATCTCTAATGTAGATAACTGTTGAAAGTAGATACTAACCTTGCTCCCTTATGACAGCATTATATAGAGTTTACTATATTTTAAACAGCCTCTTGAAAGTTTTCTGGGAGGATTATTGTACACTTTTCTATATTGTGTAACACAGTCATAATTTTAAAGTTTCATTTCTTTTTCTCTAGCTTTTCTATTATTTGATAGAGTACATAGGCTCCCCTCTGTAGGAACTGGTTCTCTAGATTAATGACTCAGTTTTTAAAAAATGTGTGATAGGGAATAAAAAGTAAATTCTGTTGCCTAGGTAGAGTAAGAATTTGTTAACATTGAGTTTGTTTATAGTTTTTGGATGTTATGAAATAGCTGCTATGAATATTCTTATATACATCTCTTGGTGAACGTAAATATTTCTTTCTGTGGCATATGAACTGGAGTAATACTGCTGAACCATAGGGTGTATAGTAGCTCAGTATATACTGCCAAACAGTATTCAAAAGTGGTTGTGTATATTCATCTTTTCATCAGCTGTGACTGAGAGTTCCAGTGGCTCCACATCTTTCTCAGCTCTTCATATTGTTTCTTTCTAATTTTAGCCACTGTGGAGGTTTTATAGTATACTCGTATGTCTCTTTGCGGTTTTAATTTGCAGTTCCCTGATGACAAATGATCATGAGCTTTTCATATTCTCATCAACCATGTAGATATCCTCCCTTGTAAAATTTCTGTTTTTCTCTTAATTTTTGTTAGGTTGTCTGTCTTTTTCTTAATGATTTGATAGAATTCTCTACATTGGGGGTGCCAAAAAAATGTATACACAGGACTTGGATTCATCTTTTGTTATCGGTATATATTGAGTATTAC